ACATTCGCAACCTTTGGTGACAATAGAACTCGCGCAACAAATAGATGAAAAGGAATCGACAGCGAATTGCTTTATAAAATCATAAACTCTCAGTTTTTATTTTACGTCAGCATTTATACTTTACGCAATGTGTAACTTAAAAAATTAGATAATTATATCTTAATTCAAATTATATAATTATATTTTATTCGCGGAGAAGGGATCTTTATCCTTAATAACGTTTTACGAGTTTTACGATTTTCGTACATCAATACGAGTCTCGGACGAATTTTGCTCTCACCTGCTCTGACTTGTACATCTCGGCTGAGCACTTTGCCGACAGGGTTGCTCGCCAAGCATCTATACGCGGCGCTATGAACGTCCTGTCGATAGGCCGCGGCCGGAAACGGCAGGAGCACCAGGGTACCATTTCTGAGCACTCTCCGCACGCCTGACACATCGTTGACCGGATGCCCGTCCGCAGTAGACCAGTCGATGTTCGGCGGCGGACTTCCGGATGCCGTGCAATCCAACCAGGCGCCGCTGGAATTCGAGAATTCGATCCTCGACGGCGGTTCCAGCACGAAACTAGGGCCGCGTAAATGCGCGTCGAAGCCGTGCCCGCTCGCGGACGTTATTATAGCAGCTGCACCTGCAAAAAGAAACGTATTCTTTTATGAGATAAGATATTTCAAATTTTGACATCTGTCAAATTGCGAAACGCAATAGTTAGAGAAAAATATCTCTATCTCGTTCTTCGATAAACTATAATAGACAGCTAATAGACAGATTTAATCTAACACATCGTAGATACGAGAGATATGAACTCATAACACAAGACAGCCGTTGTAAGAATACTTTGAACGTAGTATTATAGTACGGCGGTATATTGGAAAATCGGATGTGAGGGATATCATGTCGACGGCCAGTCGCATCAGGCGGAAAACAATTTGACAAGTTCCAAAGTGGATTAATCAACGTGCTTAGCGTGTCTAGGGTTGCCAATCGAACGGTGCCGTCGCGACCAATATTTCGGCCAAGTTATTCTCCTCGTAGTGCGGTGCGCGCGCGGGACACCCACTTCTCGGCGTAAATGCTTTGATCGGAGGTGTGAAAGCGTCAGCAACTACTTGCCGGCTCCTCTCTTGTATCGTTAGCGGGCTCCTGCACCGGTTATTAACACTTCGCCCATCCATGTTGCATCCTTCGTGTCAATGTTACGGCGAAATTTGCTGCGAACCATAGGAGCCGCGATAAATTCCGGCTCTCTCACACGGTTAGCTTACATAGCTTGCCTTAAACTTTGAAATGCATTGACTTAACTTTCAACTACTATTATACCGCGATTTGGCTAACGTGATCGTTATGGCAGCGTAAAACCATTCAACTAAACCGTCTTATAACTCACGCGCTCTTGTACGCTTATTGTTAGATTATCTCGATCAATTTTTGATTGATATGATCGCTATCTATTTAGTTCTTCGATATATTAAATTATATATTAAATATATAAAAAATTTAGTCAGTATTAATTTTTATCTAAATCCATGTCATTCTTAGAAGATCGATTAAATTTTAGCAAGCCATTTAGCATCTGTATCATTTTTAATACCTGTGATTTATAATATTTACAAACTGATAAACGTTAAAACGAACAGCTAATTGCGCTGATTTACGATCGTAGAAATTGCAGACGGCTAGGTAAATAAAATAGTATTTCCCTCCCCTTTTCATTTCCCCTTCTTTTAGACTCAATATTGTAGAATACCTCGATCGCAACGGGATGCGAAGCTCGGAAAAACACGAAACTCATAACGACATTCGCCCATTGTAATTCGTTTATAACGACATTCGGGAGGGAAACGCGCACGTGTGTCGCGACCGAATTTCGTAATGTCGCATTGCATGCGCGCGGCATACAAAATACAAAATATGCAAATCGGTGTGCGTGTGAGAGAGAAAGAGAATTGAAATCCTCCATCATGGTGTCCGGCAATTGCGCACTCACCTTCATGCCGGCCAGCTTCCGGGGAAAATTGTCTCTCTTTCTCTCTCTCTTTTTCTCTCTCTCTCTCTCTCTCTTTCACGCGCGCGCTACTTAATTACTAATTCCGCGCGAGTATTACGCTGGCGCTCTCTCGAGCGGAATTCCGCTCGTTGCTTCGCCCAAGCGACGTCGCGTCGATTTTCGAAGGCGTCGCATCGACCGCTTTAATTGGCAGAAAATTAATTACGCATTGTGTATACGCAATTCGACGTCGTTAACTAGAAATTCAAACGGACGGATTACGTCAAAGACATTGTCACTTAGCAATTTACGCGGAACTTGAATTAATTTTATAAAAGGTATAATATAAAATTTATAATATAAATAATATAATGTAATATAAAATTTACAATATAAATTTATATTATAATATAAAATGCAATGTGTGTCGCATACGTAAAAATTCTTGCCGAGTGAAATATTTTTTGTCGCATCTTTCACGTATATCCAATTTAACGTAGTATCGATTTCCATACTTGTCGTGACCTCGTGGAAGTATTTCGGAACATCTACAAATCTTACTGCGTACCTTAGCTGCTGCGCAGGTCAGATTCGCGTCAACATCCCGCCTTTATGACGCGTCCTCGAAGAGATTTATCCGTTGACGTGGAAAATCGAGGAGTCGAAGAAGGCCGTCGCGACGAACGAGTGAGCGCTAGCAAGAATGAACATGCCGGTAGATGCTCAAAGTGACTGGCCGAAAGCATGCGTTGAAGTGACAGAAACAGACGAATAGAGTTGAGCAGCGAGTAGGAGGTAAACGGAAGCCCGAAGGGAATACGAACGGGTGAGATGAGACAGAGAACGAAATAGAGAGCGAGAAAGAGAGAGAGAGAGAGAGAGAGCACGGGAGGGTGTGACCGAGAGAGAGAGAGAGAGAGGGTGCAGGTGTCGGTGGGTAATAGCTCCCTATTACCATAACGCTCGGCTAAGCCGGCTAATCGGTTCCGCTTATGCCGATCGGCAAATTATTATTAATCACATTGCGCGCAGATTATATGCGTCTATGGCGCGGTGGCATTTGCACTTCGCGTCGCGTTATCAATCGCAGTTGTACGGGCTTTTACCGTCGCGCATTTATCCGCACACATTTGATCCTTTAACAGACTTGTGTATTTATCGGTAGATGTGTCCGAACTCTGCTGACTTTTCTATAATTTTGCATAATTTGGATATATTATTTTTTAAACTCTCTGTGAGCTGTATGTTTTTTATTTTATAAACGCGAGCGTTGAACGATTTATTTCCATTTATTTACCCTCGAGGCTACTTTGATGTTTTGTTCTACTTGTACGTATTATATAATTAAATTATTATATATTATTACACAGATTAATTATAATTTAATTATAACAAAAACAATTAGGATTGATATACTATTTAATGCATGTATATGTGGGTGTGCGTAGTTTAGTTTCATAATTATATAAAGTTCGATATTTAATACGATTATTATTTTTTCACATATGTGATAATACACACGTTGCGTCATTATAGGTTTTATTTATGTAATTATAAATTAAAGCGCAGATATTTTTTTTATTTGAATTAATATTTGTGATGAGTTTATCTCTGTTTCGAGTTTATACTATTTTTAAATTCTCGATATATTTTCCACAGATAGGAAATGTATTATATAATAAATTTTAAAACATTTTGAAAAGGCTATTAAATATGGAAATCTCTCATGGTTGTTTCTCTTTGGAGAATCTCTCATGATTCTCGGTCAGTCTCCGAAATCCGAACACAAGTGGGGTTTCTATCATCTGTCTGGATTTCGCTCTCTCGCCACGAAACCTTCGAATCGGTGGGTTCGGTAAAAGGAGCTTGTGCTACGAACCAGGAATCAATAGGCGGAACAAACTGTGTAGATGGGTAGAGGTCTCCGGTAAGATTGAATTTGCAGACTGCCTTTCCGAGAGTTCTCGACGAGGGGGCGAATCCTGGAGAAAAGGTGAAGGGCAACGGGGGGACTTGATAAGAGTCCACGATCTCGTGCGACGTCGGTTTCTCCTCTCACTAACTTTCATACCTTTCCTCTTCTTTCGCTCCCCCTTCCCCTCTCAAGTGAGCTGCCGATGTTTACTCTGCCTATCAAGACGGCAATTATTTGATCCGGCTAGTGAAACGTATCCCTTGAATCTTCCCCTTTCGTAGTACTTATCCTTCTGTTTACTAGTGTTCTAGAATGATTAATCAGAATTTAATTCTGTGGATTTCTAGGAGATCTTATTTTTTCTTCTCGAAAACTCTAATTTTGCATGATGTAACAATATTAAATATGATTTAAAATAGTTTAGTACCATTTGCAATATTGATTTGAATAGTTAATACAATCCAATATATTTAAGAGATTCTAAAAATAGAGTAACAATTGCTAAATATATAAGGAAATAATTAAGAGAGAGAAACAGATTTCTAGTTATTAGAATTTATTACTATTAACAAATTTTTTTTACATATCAAGAAAATAAAATACCGTTTTAACTTGAAAAATCTAGTAGAGTAGTCGATTTTTCATTTTCTTTTAGAATGTAACGAACAAAAGTAGTAGACTAAAGACGACACCGATGTTCATGGGGGGAGTCTAGGAATTGATAGAATCGACGATAGTTTGCACTGAGGAAAGGGAGGAAAAGGGAAGGGAAGGGCAGAGCAGGGGTGCGCATCGAGTTATTCCGCGAGTCGCTTGCCTCCGTGCAAACGCAAGTCGAAGTCGAACACTGCAACAAGTTGAGAAAGTTGTTTAGACGCCTCGGAACGAGACGAAGAGATCGCTCCTGAAAAACTATGACCGTGCAGGGACACACGGGCAATTTTCCAGCTCGTGCGAAAAGTTTCCGCGGCGGGCAACAAGTTGAGAAAGTTTCAACATGGCCATGGATGGCGTCCCCGAGGGAACGCTTCCGCGGGCCATTTCAAAAACTGTCGAACGACTAATCTCATGGCTTCTAGCGAGAGAGCGCGATACGAAACTTTGGCCGAGCGACCGGAGTCTGCAACTTTCGCAAATTCGCTGCGAAAAGTTCTGAATCGCTTGGATAAGCGGGTTAGATCGAGCGTCGGGCAGACGATATCTCTGAGGTTCATCTCGTAAAAGATTATTTTTATCTCATTTTATATTCTGTGTATGTTCTACGTTCGAAAAAAAAAAAAAAAAAAATCTATCTTTGAAGGATACTTGCATATTTTTGGAAAGAAGAATGTGCAAGAAATATATGTTTACATATTTCTAACACCGACAAATATTTTCCACTTTTATTTCATTTATATATTTTTTTTTATCTGTACTTTATGCAAATATTTGATAGCTTTTTTTACAATAATATTTTTTGTCGCATTCTTTTATCAAGTTCGAAATTTTATAAATTTATGAAGTTCTATCAGGGATAAAACTTTTACCCCGAATACTTATAATATTCCTGTTTCTAAATTGTTTGGACCCTTTTCTCTAATATTTCGATACCTATACTAATAAAATGTGAATTTACAACACGTCAACAGCGAGACAGTATCGTTCTGGAGGTTTTGAAACTCCTCCGTCAGTTGCACTTTTGCCGGAAGAACGAATCCGGAAGGGTGTGAGGCGGTGCTCGCACCACTCA